TTTTTTTTTTTTTTTTTTTTTTGTGTGTGTGTGTGGTACGCGGGCCTCGCACCACTGTGGCCTCTCCCGCTGCGGAGTACAGGCTCCGGACACGCAGGCCCAGCGGCCATGGCTCATGGGCCCAGCCACTCCGCAGCACGTGGGATCTTCCCAGACCGGGGCACGAACCCGTGTCCCCCGCATCGGCAGGTGGACTCTCAACCACTGCGCCACCAGGGAAGCCCCTCAGCTCCTCTTTCTGATATAGGAAAGAACAGAAGGTGTGGGGCACTCCAGAGGCACCCAGGCTAGGAAGTCCTGCAGCAGGACTGAGGACCCACATGACCTTGCTCAGGAACCAGGCCTCGGCATCTCTGCGGTTCTTGTCTGCTATCTATTCATACTGGTCACGCATCTCATTCAGGATGTGGCTCAGGTCCACGCTGGGGGCAGCATACACCTCCACATTGACGTCCCCGCTGGTCTGACTCTGCAGGGTAAACATCTCCTAGGAACGGATGGGTGGAGGTGGTCAGCTCAGCTGCCCCCTTCCCTGGCCCCAGGTGCATCTGCAACCCCACTGGATCAGCCTCCCACTGCCAGCAGCAGCCTTACTTCCTGGTGGTCCTCTTCAGGTAGGCCAGCTCCTCCTTCAGACCCTCGATCTGCATCTCCAGGTCAGTCCTTACCAGGGTCAGCTCGTCCAGCACCCTGCGCAGGCCATTGATGTCAGCCTCCATGCCCTGGCGCAGGGCCAGCTCATGCTCATACCTGGCAAGACAAAGGTCAGGGCCTCAGGGTCCATCGTGAAGCTTCTGAGGCTCAAGACCTGCTGGTCCTCCTGTCTGGACAGCCCCACTGCTCACCCCCTGCCCTCTACTCTCTGTCCTCAGCCCACCACAGTGCCGCTCACTTGGTCCTAAAGTCATCAGCTGCCAGCCTGGCGTTGTCAATCTGCAGAAGGGGCTGTGTATTCTCTATTGTGGCTTCGAATATCTGCAGAGGGGGTGAAGGACACGTCTGGTTAGCCAAGGCCCTGCTGCTCAGGGGTGAATAGCAAAGAGGGGAGAAAGGAGCCTCACCATACTTGGGGTTATCTGGCTGGCAGGTCAGTCCTTACTCCCTCAGACAGCCTAGGGTGCCTTCTCCACCCAGCTTAGCATGTGCAGGGGATGCATCCACGTATCCGCCACCCCATCCTGGGCCCCATCTTGCTTCGGAGAGAAGCTGATCCACAGAATGTTCGCAGGGAGTAAGAGATTCAGGGTACCAGGTCCAGCTCAGATACCCTGATGCTAAAAAGGGACCCTCCGCCACCAATTCTGAGTAGTCCTTGGCCACACCTCAAAAGCGGGCCTCAGTCTCCCTGTTTGTAAAATGAAGATGCTAGCAAGCGTTTTTCTAGGGTCCACTGCAGCCATGACCTCTATCAACACTCCACCACCAGAGCCGCGCACCTGGCCACGCCACCTGGTCCCGCAGGTCCTCGATGGTCTTGAAGTAGGGGCTGTAGTCGCGGGCGGGCCCGGGCCCCTGCTTCTGGTACCAGTCGCGGATCTCCACCTCCAGGTCAGCGTTGGCCTCCTCCAGGGCGCGCACCTTCTCCAGGTAGGAGGCCAGGCGGTCGTTGAGGTTCTGCATGGTGAGCTTCTCGTTGCCAGAGAGGAGGCCACCATCGCCACCACTGAGGCAGACGCCAAGACCACCACCATATCCTCCAACGAAGATGCTACCCAGGGCCCCACCAAAGCTGCCGCTGCTGCTGAAGCTGCCGCCATAGCCGCCCCCCAGCCCGCAGACACCCCCGGAGGAGTAGCGGGAGGAGGACAGGCCCCCGTAGGCGCTGGGAGCCCGGCAGGAGCCTCCCGCCAGGACGGAAGACCCGCGGCTGGAGCCACCGCCGATGCCACAGGAGCCCTGATGGAGCTGGAGGAGGTGAACTGGCGCCTGCAGGTGGTCATGGTGAGAAGAGAGAAGAGAAAGGTGCTCGGGGAGGCTGGGAGGATGCTGAGGTGTCCTCAAACCCCAGGAACGTTTACATGCACGTGAGGAAGGAGGGTCCCTCCCAGCTGCTGACTCCGGGCACCCCTCCGGATTTCATCACTCCAGATCCCATCCAACTCCCCTCTCCAGATTATTCAGCCCGGGGTCAACTCACTTCACTGTGTGCCTCTCTGAGTTCCCACCCAGTTTTTGGGGGTGTGGAGCTGAGAGAAAACATACCAACTCAAGTTGGTGGTGACTGATGCTAGGCAACGGGAATCTAGCTGGAGTTAGTTCCTGGAGACTGAGGGGCCAGCAGTGCCCCGGCACAGGCGAATTTGTGGTGACTGCATCCCTGGGCAGTGAGTCAGCCCATGGAAGGACTCCCTGCCCGACGGTGACAGCCTTGGATGAATGGCCTCAGCGATGCTGTCCAGGGGCTCTCTCGGGATGCAGCTGTGGGGACCCTACATGACTGGCTGTGGACAGGAGAGCTGGGTTCATGGTCCTGCTCTGCTCTGCTCACTGTGTGACCTGTGCCCCCCACCCGCCACCTACCTTCTCTGGGCCTCTGTTTGCCCTCAGTAAATTGACAAGGCTGAACTGGGCAATCTCAGAGTCCTTTCCAGTTCTAAAAATTCTATGAGTCTTATCCCAGTTTCAGAGGCTGCCTTTGAGCCCCCAGGACCTCCAGAAGTGGTGTGTACCATGAAACGAGCAGATAGCAGTTTGAATCCCTGCTCTGCCCCGTACAAGCTGCATGGCATAAGTAGTCCTTTAGTCTATGAGCCTCTGGACCTCAGTTTTCTCATCTGTAAAAGGGGAGGGCACACCACCAGCCACAAAGGAACATGCATGATGGACCCTGCTGGCCCCTTCCCAATGGCCAGCCCTGACCCCCAGCCTCCCCTTCCTTCCTTTCCAGCCCAGCTACCCCTCACCCACCCCTCCTCACCCACCTCTATGCTCTGGCACCTCCCTCCCACATGCCTGCCCTCTCCTCTTCTCTCCCACACTCCCACCCTTTGAGCAGCTCCCCCGCCCAGCGCGTTGCTTCACCTAATCACAGGCACCCACCGTAAACTGTGGTGGGAGGGAATCCCCATCCTGCTGTTCGTACTACCTGTGACCCCGAACCCCGCCACAAGACTCCAAGACCCCACACTGTATCCAGGGCTTAGATCCCAACAGTTTTCTCTGGAGCGTCCACAGCTTCCAGGCTGGATTTGGCAACTTTATTCGTTCAGTCGAGGAGACGGGGGAAGGTGCCTCTCTGGTCACCTGCCACGCTCAGGTATTTACACATGCCACACAGTTCTGTGAGGGGCCTTATTCCTGCCACCAGTTCACAGATGAGGAGGCTGGAAGGGTAAGTGGGCTTACCAAGACCCCAGTCAGTGGGGAGCTGAGGCTTGAACCCCTGTCTGTCTGCTCGCCCAGCCCAAGTCCTTTCCACCATCCTGAACCACTCTCTTTTTGCCCCTCCAACATACATCACTGTCTTGAATCAACCCTGTGAGGTGAGGAGGAGAGAGGGAGAACCAGAGAGAGGGTGATTTGCCCAAAGGCACTGCGTTTAAGCTGCAGAGCCGGGACTTGACCCCAGAGATGGGCTGTCTTCAACTCTCCCGCAATGCCTGGCAAGCATGTCCATCATCATCTGCCTCTCCGAGGTGCCTGGAATGAGCTCTGCCCATGGTGGGCATGATATTGGCCTGAGGGCTGAAGGCAGGACTGGGGGGTCTGGACCCCAACAAAGAGGCCTCCTTGGGGTGCCCTGGGGGGTGACCGACAGAGCTGGCCACTGTCCTTGCTCTGCGGTGCCTCTGTGGAGGTGAGAGGAGGCGGAAGAGAGCTTGCCTCAGCCTGAGTCCTGCTGGACAATACCACCTTGAACCTTGGGGCAGGAAATTCTGTCTCAGCATAACCAGGGCTTTGTTTCTGCCACATCATGTCCCTCATCTGGAGGCACAGGGCCCAGAGGGATGAGCAGAGCTGGTACCCAGCCTATGCCTTCAGGGCCAGGCCTGGGAGAGAGAACTTGCTATTCCCTCCCCTAACCCCAAAAATAGGCAAAAGGGACCCTGGAATCTTAGACAAAACCCCCACCATCCCAGGCTTCAGGATGGGCCTGGAGTTCATGTCCAATCACAGATTCATCACCTTCAGAACTGGAAATGGCCTTCAAGGTCAGCAAAGACCACCAAGCCCCAACCAGAGAGCACAAAAGACTTGTTCCATGTTAAACAGGACAGAAGCAGAGGAGCAGACGGACTTCCCTGGAGGTCCAGTGGTTAAGACTCCGTGCTTCCAACGCAGGGGGTACAGGTTCAATCCCTGGTTGGGGAATTAAGATTTCACATGTTGCATGGCGCAGCCAAAAAAATTTTAAAAAAAGAAGAATCAGAGGAGCAGAGCCTAGACCCAGGTCCAGCACCCTGACCGAAGCCCATACTGACTCTCCCGGTGGTCTCTGGGAGCTCCTCCTTCTCTGCACCACCCCCCAACCCTCCACCTCCCTTCTCACCAGATCGCCGCCCCTGCCCCCATTCCTGGAGGAGTCGGGGCTGGGATTACACACAGGCCCAGCCCTGGAGGTCGGGGATCTGCATGGACTGAGAAGCTGCCGGAAGTTGCCAACCAACCCATCAGATCACTCAATCAACACCACAGACCAAGCACCCACCATGTGTCCAGCATTTGGGGTGTGGCAGGGAGGAGAGAGATGCTGACGTGGTCTCTGACCTTGGAACTTATCATTTGACCCTGGAGAGACAACTAAGGCCGGAAAGACAGCACCGTGCAGCAGGGAACCTGGGATGCTTGGCCCACAGGATGCAGCTGGCATTTCCTCCGTGCCAGTGACGCACACCTGCCCCAAGGCTGCCAAGAGCCAGAATCACCAGACCTGGTCAGCACAGAGCACAGACTCCCACCAACCCCTCCAGGCAGTGGGTTCCTTCCTCCACCCAGGCCTCTTTCCTCTCTCCTTGGCCCAGCTCCAACCCAGGTATCATCATCACATACCTGAATTGGCCAGGTGTGGCCAATGCCACACCTCAACTTGCAGTGATTCCCAAATCTGACTGAACACGAGAATCCCCATACAGATTCCCGGGCCCTGCTCTGACCCACTTCATCAGCATCGCCCAGGACAAGCCTGATGGTGGGGAGGTTTTACAAGCTCCCAGGGGATTCTGGTGTCCAGCCAGGCTGGGGGCCAAGAGGCGGCTGTGGGAGGGAGGGGAGGAGGAGACTCCAGGGAGCCTGAGGGGAGAGGGGAGGTCGCTGCAAAGCCCCCAGCCACTGATGGCAGCCACAGTCACAGGCCTCAGGGCAGGATGAAGAAAGAAAGGAGCCAGATGAACCAGGACAGAGCAGGCTGGAGTTAGGCCAGCAGGGGCCAGATACTAGGCAAGTCGTTCCTCCCCTCTGAGCCTCAGTTTCCTTCTCTGGGAAATGGGAATGGCAGCACCACTTCACAGGCACAGAGAGGTGAAATAAATAAAGCAGCTGTCACAGACTGGTGGCTGTCACTGCATTTATCTTCAGGTATTTATAAAGCACCTACTATGTGCCACACACTGTGCGGACACTCAGATGCAAAGAACGAGACAGAGAGGCCCTCAGGGCAGAATGTCTGGAGGATGTAGAGACGTCCCCAACACTGAGTGTTCAGGCCATAATGGGGGGTAGGGGGTCTGCAGGGAGGGGACGGGCTCTCTGGGAGTGAACAAATGGCTCCCAGGCAGGCTCTGGCCCCGTGCCCGGTCCCAGGATCTAGGTGAGTCTGTGAGTGCCTTACCCACCTTAGGCGGTCCTCCGCCACAGTGTTGGATCTCCCCCTTCCAAGGCAGGGCCTCTCGCAGCCCCTCACAATGGTCTGCACAACCAGGGGCCCTCAGAAGAGCCTGTGGCTGGGTTAAGCTGGGTGACAGTCTGGACTCTGCCTGGGGGCTGAACTGTCCTGGCTCTGGTCCCTCTGTTCCCCTCAGCTCCCCAAAGCCTGGGTGGCACAGGAGAACACACTGCATAAGGGCTGAGGGAGGATTGTCAGGCCTGCCATTGTGCCCGGCTTACCACTCCTAGACTGGGGTCCCTCAGGGTCCCTCCGAACCAGGGCCTGGGTCTCTTACTTCCCCCGGGCCCAGCGCAGACCCAGGCACAGAGCGACGCAGTGCCGTGGACAGTGTTACTGCCATGTCATTTCTGTGCAGAAAGCACCGTCAGGTCACCCTTCCAGAGTGTGGGCGAGGCGGAGGAAGAGTCACAGGGGCTGACTACCCGTGGCCGGCCCGAGCCTGGGCATCAGGTGTGTGTGTCCATCGTACGAGTGTGGGTGAGACGGCACCCAGGGGAGGTACAGACCGGCTCACTGAAACATCTTGTGCAGCAGGTGGGTGGGTGTGGATGAATGTGAGTCCCTTGGAAAGTCCCACAGCTGGGTCCCCCAGTCCAGCCGCAGGCACATGCCCCAGCAGCCTGGGTCAGCGTGGTGTGTCTGGACAAAGCCATGCCATCCCCAAGGGGACCACAGGCCTCCACCCCCAGGCACTCCTCCCTGCGGGCCCCCACCTGCCCAGGCCTGGGCTGAGCACTCCTGGAAAGGGCGGGACTTTTCCTCTCTGGGCCCAGCACTCTGCCCTGTGGACCTCCAGCCCCGGCACCGCAGCCACTGCTCTCCTGGTGCAGCTCCAGGGACACCTGGCTGCTCCCCCATTGTGGCCTCCTGACCACCCACCCACTCGCTTTGTGGGCAGAGCCTTCATCCCCCGCAGAAGGGTGGAGTCCGGGGCTGCCTCTCCTAGCCCCACACTCTGACCCCTCCTCACTCACCCCATCAGTAAAAGTGCACCCCCAGAGTCTGCGGGGAGAGAGGG